CCTCATCATTCCCATTTCCTCCCTGCTCTTTGCGTTATGCTCAACATTCAGTCTGAGGCTGCAGCATCTCGTAGAGCACTAAACACCTTGCAGTAAAACAAATGTGGGGATGTGATGGATGGAAAGAAATGATTCAGCGAGGCCTGTGGGAACAGAGCCTAGCATACTGGCATGCAAGTAAGAAAGGAAACATTTAAGCCAAATACCAGTATGGCATTTTAAGCTGATGAGGACCTTCTCCAAGGAGACAGTCATCCTCAGTGGCTTGAGGCTTTAAAAATACCCAGCAAACTGGGCCAACAGAACAACAGCTGTCCCACGCAAAACGGTCCTGCACAGATCCTAGAAGAGACCTTGACAATTGCTGGCTACTTTACACACATACATATTTTTGGATTTTCCTCTCTGACACCCTTCCAGCATGCCCTCTGTTACCAGCCAGAAATTCTATTCTGGCAGAATTACAGGAGTCTGAGAACTGCCTAGATTTTTAGGCAGTCTCAACATCACCAGTCCCCAGGTTGACCTTCAGTGGTTGAGTCTGGATACATTTGAGATCCTGCAGTTGAATTAGCGATAAGGACAACCCTGGTGTACACTCATGCCAGCCATTCCTTTGCCCGTTTTCTTTCCAAAAGAGGCTATAACCAGGGCATGACTGGAATGTTAAAAGCCCTTTTTCAAGCCAGGCCTTGGTAATGCCAACTGCATCAAAGCCTCAATGAGGACGGCTTCTTTCTCCTACTTTTTAACCTATTCTCTGCCATAGCTTTTTACCAAATGACACATCTCTCCTCCTCCTTTGGCAGAGCAACCCAGCTCAGCTGCTTTTGTAATTTATCACCACCTGCCTGGTTGCTCCTACTAGTTTCTGACCAAGAAAATTAATCGTCCCCAACCTGTAAGATGAGGCCATCCTGTTCACACAGCCTTCTCTCACACTGAAAGGTGGACCAGCAATCAGCAAAACCAAAGGCTTCAGCCTCACACCAGTCATGCTGCCAGTAGTTCATTGCTAGTATTTTCTTTTGCTGATAGTGAGAAGGGAAGGCTCTCTAGACGTTCCTCCTCTTCAACTCTCGTCCAAGATCGCCAAGGTCTCCCGCAATCCGTGCAGTTCCGCTCGATACGCCGCGTCATTAACACCAGCACCGGGAATAGCTGGCCAGATAATTTCATAATCCAAAGCCGACGGATTTTCTAAACTTCTTTAATGTGCTGCCACAGTCAAATTCAAACTAATGAATGCTGATTCCTAAGATACTTTATGCCATTAATCAGCAGTTTTCACATTATTACAGGGCGAGCGAGAAACGTTACCCAGAGAAGCCACCACTGTGAGGGCTGAAAGATGACAGTGAGCTGGCCAAACATACACTACTGAATCACCCAATGCCAGTGTCCTGTTCCTATCAATTCACAACTTTTAATTGTTCCTTTTCATCAACATCCAATGGCAGCTACTTCTGCTCAGCTGGGAGTCAGAAAGAAGGGTGTAGCTGTTTACACACCCATCCTCTTATCCCTCCAGCTTCCTTAAGGGCGGACAGAAAGCTCTTCTGATAGTTCCCTAAATGGCATAAAAAGGAACCAATCTTATTTAACGCTTCCCTTTTTGCATTACGTAGTTTTCATTCATGAGCTGAAGCTATCGTTTTTTCTCATACCAGAAGACCTTCCAAGTGCATTGTATTCACGCAAATGACCCCCCGCCCCGATTTAATTTAAAATATCAAGATGCACCTACCAAAGGGAAGGAAGAAACTAGTGTGTGGGTCCTCCACCCACACCTGCACTAACATTCCCACCCTCTCTTCTCTGGTGAGCTTGAGAACTTCAGTTGCTAGAGATGCCTTCAAGGACAGTTTAATTCTCTGCTGCCTTTATTGACACATCAAATAATGACAACAGGATATTACAGCGAAGCAAACATCAAACTAGCATGAAGTGATTTCCTTAGGTAGCTAAGTTAAAATCTAAATTCCACATTTTGAAGTTTGCACATTTGAAGGGCTAATATATGTAAATGTTCGCAGCCTTTATCAGTGCAATCTCCATGAACAGTCTCCCACCACTGTCTCAACATAAACTGCTCAACAATCCCCTCCCCCAGATAAAAGCCCTGAATTAAAACCCATCTACCAGTAAAACAGGTCTCTTCTCCATGGAAACGGCATTACCAGCTGTGCATACGTTACCTGCTGAGATGCTGGCACGGGCTGCACTACTGGAGCTTGGGCTGAAGCTGAAGTATGAAGAGCCACAGAAGCTGCTGAGTCTGATCCACCCTCTGAACTCTGCATGCTCACTGCTGAAGAGACCACAGGGGAGATGAGCCGGAGAAAGCACAGCTTTGCTCGCCGATCACGGCCAAAGAGCCCGAGGAACCCGTGGCTACCGGGAACAAAATCCCAGTGGAAGGTCTAGGGGAAGTGCTAGGAAGGAAGGTAGCTACCTTCCTACACAGAGGACTCTTTTTAGTCTTGGATCTAATTTTGATGCGGTATTATATTAAGAAAAAAAGAAAGTTGCACAATTGTTCCACAGAAAGCAGAGGGAAGGAACAGAAAATGCACTTCTAAATATAACAAAAAAAAAAAGTAGCATTGGAAAATTATTGTGTCATACTGAGGAGTAACTACAGATCTGTAAGAATAAGAACATATTTTTAAATCAGTTTTTTCCTCCCCCTCTGCCTATTCATGTTTAACTACTGCAAAATTTTTATCAAAGTGAAGTACGTGCCTGGAGGTTAGCTAATACATTCATTTTGAAAGTGGGGTTGTCAATTTGAACTTAGAATCACAACCAATAATGAAACATGAATGGTAAAACGACAGTTCACTAAAGTATTAACACCTCCCGGACCCATCCATGCAAAGCAACACCTCCGCTGTCACCTCCCTGCCCTCTCCCAAAAATCACACCAGCCTCCCCGAGGTTCCCAAGCGGATGGACGCACACCCATCGCCCTCCTGTCCTGCTCGCGCGCAACCAACCCCATGGGAACCTGCGAGTGCCCCAGGCCCCTCCGGCCCCAGCACTCACCCAGCATCACTCGGCCACCCCGGGGGGATCTGGGCAGCGTCCCCAGGGCCGCGTGGGAACTGCCTGGGGAAGGAGAGCCCACGGCGGAGCAGCGCACGCTCTCCAGCCTCCCGGGCTTCCTTGCTCCCTTTCGGCATTTTCCACGCGCCCCACGTCCGTCCCCCGTACGGCACAGCCCGTTAAGGCTGAGTCGCCCGGCAGAAAGCAAGGGCTGCAGCCGGGGTGCTTCCCAAGAGCAGCCAATGTCATTTTGGGTTGTGCATGTGTGTTTTTTGTTTTTTTTTTTTGATGTAATATGGTGGGGGGTGGAAGCCTTTTTCCTCAGTTTCTTGTGAAAGTTCCTGTTTAAACCTATTTTAAGACCGTTTCTTGCTTCCAAACCAAAGATTCAGAAGCATCCAGATTTTGAGCGGTGTCATTTCTCCTTTCGCAGTCTTGCTGCAGAGTGAAACAGCCTCCAAACTCTAAGGGTGTGAAATCTTTTCCATTTTATTTCTCTTCTTCTGATGCTTAAACTTTTTCCTTAACTTTGTGCAAGTTAAGAGGCAAAAAGTAAAGAGAGAAACTGAGGGACACTTTGGACACGCTTAGGATCTTGCTCGTTTGACAGCTCTCTGTGGCAAAGAGACAAAGATGGGAGGTGAAGTTACAAAAATGATGCGTATATTCTCCTTCCGCTATTGCGGAAAAAAACCCCAAATACTTCAAATTCAACAAATTCTTCACAAAACAGGTTTGCAGATGTTTTCAGTCAGCGCTGACCCAGCCCTGCCACGCTGAACATCAGGAAGTCACAAGTGCTCTCCTGAACTTCACCCAAACCCCTTGCAAGCCATTTTCTCTTTCATACCTCCTTCCTGCGTCCAAGAGAAAGAGAAGATACAGAACGCATATAGTCACTGCTCCAAACACAGCCATCAAACTAATTTAACAATCCAGAAACAAGATGAAGAAATTTAGTCACTATTTAGCCCCATTCATATCCCTTCCCAGCCCTCAAGTCACACGCACGGTGCGTCCTTAGCAGACGCGTACTACTATTTTATGCAACTCCGCTATATAAAGGCGGCACCTGCTTCTTCCCATCGCTGCCTGAACGTATTTTTGAAACGGTACCCAAACTCCTTTGTGCAAAGATATCAGTGGCAACAGCGCTGCGCGATCAAAAAAATAATAATAATTCTCTCTGCAAATTTAAGAAAGAGCCTTCCACCTGTTCCAGCCCCGGCTGACCAGCATTATTTGCAAGTAAACAGCTGGCCAGCACTGTGCCGTTGGCAAAGGAGGTGAGTTTACATAGCTCATATAAACACTCTCAGGCAGAGTAGAGGGATAACTTTTAGGATGCATGTTCTCATAACTTTTGCAAGGGTGTTTTATTGTCTATCATTCACGCTCTGGGTTTCGGTTCACAGCTTTCTAGGTTTTTGCGAGAGGAAAAGCGAGCAGAGCAGAGGACACGCAGACGCGATGCCATCTCAAAATCAGCACCCGCTCATCTTTGCTGAGTTTTTTGACTTCTGTTTCCCCTCGGTGGCAAAATGACCTAAAGAGAGGCAGGCAGGGAGGAAGATGAGTTGTCTGCTGCCCAAATAAATCAACGTTATTTTCAGATTTGTTACAAAACGCAGGCTCTGTTACCGATGATGATGATGAAGCCAGACATAAAGAACCCAATGAAATCTGCAGTTGGTACTTCCAGGCAAGGTAGACAGACACAGAAGTCCTAGACCCCAAAGCACATTTGCAAGAATTATTATTATTTTATTAGTGGAACATCCTGGACAAAAGATAACTCATTTCCCACTAAAGCCATCCTGCACTTCCTGAGAATTGGAGAGACAGATGTATGCCATCTGCCAACGTTAATCTGCGCTGCTGGAAAGCGTACAGCATAAGCCGAATTCCCGTACTCCGAGGAACCTTCCTAAGGTGCACCATGACTTTGCCCACATCCTGGGAACACAGCGAGCACGCACGCGAGCCCATACTCCAGAGGAGGAACAAATAGCTCATCGCCAGCTCTCAAAGAGGAGAGGAAATGAGGCGTCCGAAGCCTTGCTCTCCCCCTCCTCGGGAGCCGCAGAGCGCCCTTGCAGCCGCTGAACGAACATCAGCTGCTGGATCTCAGCCGCCTGCTCGTGCAGCGCTCTGGCACTCCAGCCGCATCTCTAAAGCGAATGCCCATGAAAGGACTCGCTGCTAGCCTCCGATCTCATTTTTCACCTCCCACAGGAGAGGAAGCTTTACAGCGCTCTCGATCCTCGCACGCAATGGCTCAAACGCAAGCTCTCCTGACTCCTAGAGATGCAGGACTCGCTGCTTTTCTGTTAGGTCAGGCCTAAGAAAGAGGGATTCACCCTAGGCGCACTTGCTCCTTGCTAAGGGCGCGAGGCGCAGCTCTCCCTTAGCAGAAGTCACCGGCAGAGGCTATTAAAAGGTGTCTCATGGCTTCTGACGGCCAATTCAACAGGGTGACAGCTGGGCAGCCCCGGCGGTGCTGCTGAGCACGCACAAACGAAGCGACTGTAATTAGTAGTAAACAAAACTACGGATGAGACAGGGAGGAACAGAAGCCACAGCTGACTTACCCAGCTTCAAGGCTCCTTACAGGGTTAAGGAGAGCAAAAAAAAAGGCAAGCGGGTTATTTCTGCAGATGGGATTCTGACCGCGCGCAAGGAACACAACCGCGGCAAGAGCAGCGTGGTTCAAACCTGCCCGTTTTCAGGTAGAGAC